CATGGCTATCAATTAGGTCTTCACAAAGACCCTATCACGTGATACTGCATTACCTTTTTTTACTTTTTAAACTTAAAGAACTAAGTTACCTAACGCCTGAAACTAAATCTTCTCTTCTACTTCGACCCGTGAAGATCCGGGGTAGAATAGGTCTTCAGCAACCCATGTGCTTGCCATAAAAGGCGACTATGCTTGTCGTAAGAGGCGACTAACGGGATCGGGTGGTCAGGCTCGCTGACTTGGTTGACACATGTCATCGGTTCCCAATTGCGCAGATCGATGCTCATGTTGTTGATCACTGGATTGTCTGGTCCAGACTCGATTATTTACAGATCGCCGCCATATAGCTGGATATTGCTGAGTGCGGCGTAAAACTAAACTCACTCATTCACTCACTAGTCGCCCCTCACGGCAGGCATTGGTTGGTGCGGACCAAGGGTTTCAAATGTTAAGTTGTAGCCTTATAGATTCTCATGAATGTAAACAAAATGGAAAAATGTAATTAAAGAGATAATGTGTCCTTGTTTCAATATTTGATATGCGAATATCGACAACGTTGATCTGACTCCTAAACCGTTTACATATTGGGAAACAGGGGGTTCACCCCCGTGAAATCTATAACTGGTTCTAAAGCCTTCATCAGTATGATCTAATCCAGTCAGTGTTTGTGAGACAAGCGCGATGCTCTGTCACGATCTTTGGACTCATCCAACCACGCTCAGCCATCCGGTAGCATTAAATTAATAGCGTCAAGCCGATCAGCAAACACTGGACCCCTAATTGGTTAAGGCGGTGTAAGAGGCTTCTACGATTTATTCTTGGTGGTACGCCTGCACTATCGACCATGGCTATCAATTAGGTCTTCACAAAGACCCTATCACGTGATACTGCATTACCTTTTTTACTTTTAAACTTAAAGAACTAAGTTACCTAACGCCTGAAACTAAATCTTCTCTTCTACTTCGACCCGTGAAGATCCGGGGTAGAATAGGTCTTCAGCAACCCATGTGCTTGCCATAAAAGGCGACTATGCTTGTCGTAAGAGGCGACTAACGGGATCGGGTGGTCAGTTTCGCTGACTTGGTTGACACATGTCATCGGTTCCCAATTGCGCAGATCGATGCTCATGCTGTTGATCACTGGATTGTCTGGTCCAGACTCGATTATTTACAGATCGCCGCCATATAGCTGGGATATTGCTGAGTGCGGCGTAAAACTAAACTCATTCACTCACTCACTCTCTTCTTCTTCGGTTAGGTGCTTTGGAGGTCGCCTTCGCCTGTTGGCATTTCGGCAGACCTATCCCTCCTGGAGATGCGTGGGGTGTCCCTCCTTGGGACTCGTGGGGGAGGCTGTGATGTCCCTCCTGGGGACGCTTGGGCCTAAATCGATGCAGTTTATGTTTTTATACCCAGTAATGAATTCTAAGAGATCTACAGAATTTCTGCCAGCTTCCTTAACCATGCAGTGATACCAATATATTTATACAAGTTTTGAAAAACACTGTTAAAAACAGACACCTACAAAACAAATCCCTCTTATTGAACGATGCCACTGTGGTTAATCCCATATGAGCAGAGACATAACAAAAAGGTTTCGGTGATTGCATTTACTTATGATCAAGTTCCTTATTAAAGTTACTCAAAATGACAATCAACTATCAACTTCAAATTGCTTCTGAAGGACTTCTTCCAACAAATAATACAGAGTCATAATTTGTCAAACACACTTTGGTCCATAAGCTGATGTTACATCCGTCAGGTCCATTTTCTGGAAACTTGATACGATGTACTTGAAAATATTCCACATGCAATTCTAAAATGTGACAGTTCTTGAAGGTAAACACAAAGCTAAGGGTACCAGTATATGTGCCGAAAAGTTGAAACGGTGTTCTTCAAAGAGACTTTTAGCAATAAAAGATTGTCATTATTATCATCTTCGCCGTGGTCCTCGTCGTCACTATCATCATCTAATAATAATAATAATAATAAGTCATCTTCTATAGCGCACAGTCTCCAAACACCAAGTGATTGCTTAATCAGAATCTGATTCTTATTACCCCGGATAACCCAAGCTGCCTGTTAGGCGCTAGAAGGTTATAGTCACATGACTTTATCCAACCGGGTACCCATTTTCTGCTGGGTGAACAGTGGCAATTTGGAACAAACTCACTTGCCTAAGGTGAGACCACATGTATATCACATGTTCTTCGTTGTGGGGCAGGACTGATGTCCTAGAAACTCTCAGGAGTCAAGCTGCCAAACACGGTCACCCATCCAAGGACTGTCCGATCTCGACGTTGCATAACTTCAACTGATTCGTGACCTGAGCACTATGCACAGGGCCACACCCCATCTACCGATGAGACTTCCATTAGTAATGATGTCATCATCTATAGCCCTCCTTCATAATGCATAATGCATACTGATTAAACCCAGTCGGATGTTAGCCCACACCTGTCTTTGTTCCTCAATATGATTATAATCTGTTGATGAAGTATAGATTTATACCAGGACGTTATCTCTTCATCTATATGTCATGCATTCAATTCCGTCCTGGAGGCTAGGTAACGAGATTAGACTGCGTATTGTTCTTATTTCCCATCGGTTCAATGAGGAGTCCAGGATGATATAACCGTATTGCCTCTGCCAGAAACAGGCTGTTAGTCCATACAGTACTTGTTAGGCCCACTGCCGGACACACCGTTAGCGGAGATTGGATTGGATGTTATTCACGTTCATATTATTCTGTAGATTCCAAATACCAAAATTTCTTTGAAGAATGACATGTATACCTTTACTCTGAAATATGTCCCTTGCGTTCGTTGCCTCGTGCTGATCAGCCGCTTTGTACTCTGTTACTAAATGGACGCTGGTGGTGACATGGATACATCTATATCTTCTACACCATCCTATATGATGCCAACGTATTGAAGCAATATGTTTCATTTAACAAGTTCTACAATGAAGAGCACAGATTCTCAACTTTTTAATACAACAAACGTCTTTTCATACAACATGAAAGTCAATGAAAGACACCTCAGTACAACGCGCTGTTCCAACATATATTTACGTAAAACAAACTCGATGAACAACGTAACATACAATATTCCCATATGTTTCTACATATAAAACTCAATACAGAAGATGACTATCTAGAGTTCCCCATGTATTCCAACAAAACAACCTTGATAAAGAGCATCACTCCCATTTTTATCATATACTCATCAAAAGAAAACTTGGAAGAAGAATGACATCATTCATTCTCCCATACATGAACTTCTGGTAAGTTTTGATGTGAACACCTGTAATTTGAACGTTTTCGTATCCGTTTCTTTAAACCAGTCATACCACGAGGGGGACCGGGACAATGTAGGTACCGAGCCGCGAGAGGCGGGTATATATGGGGTGTGTAGATTGATGGCCTGGTTTGGTGTGTGTCATCACACCTGACAGGGATCGTTGCTCGTGATATCAACAACTGATTGGTCCCCACGAGATTTGTATATGTACAGGCCAATGTAATATAGGCAGGATAGACGAACACAGGTATTGTAATTGCAAATGAAATTACAATATACACCAATTGTTACCATCGGCTATTTACTGCCAATAACATTACACAATTCCCTATTGTAACGTAATGTGTAAGTCTGGACCAACGCAATCGTATTATTCCACGTCAGAGCGTTCACATTTGATCTCAACTGAATTAATAACATGATTGGGGTCATATTAGTTCTATTAACATGATTGTGCTGCATGTTGTTCACAGAGGAAGTGACGCAGTGTATGACAGTAGAGATCCAGGCGCCCCTCTGAGTGAAACTACCATGTTTTGGCTTGGTGCTGCCAACCAAGCATCATTCCTAAACAATCCATTGGAAGACAAAGGGAGACAACTTAGCACAATAACTTGCGAATGTCTATAATTAACCACATAGCTACTGATACCAACTATTTTGTTCAAGTATATGTGAAAATATTAGAAAATGCTTATAAATAGAAGCAGTTATAAGGGTGATATACAGTATTTTTGTAATAAACATTCTCTGTACATTCTGTTATTTCTAGTATGTGAATTAAATTTATATCTATGCACTCTTTGTATTTTGCCTAGTTATAACATAAAATGAGTGCATGGAGTCTGGTTCTAATTAAATACTTGACAAATAGTGCCAAATATCTTTTCGCCAAAAAAGATATAATAATTGATTTGTTCAGTGGACATAGAAGAAGTACGCTTCAGGGAACGGACTTCCTGAAGACCCATTGCATAATAACAAATATGACCGTAAAAAGAGTGTTCGCGAAAACCTTATAATATCTTGCCCCACCGATCACAAACATATGCAAAAGCAAGTTAAATATGCATATGGAAAAATCAGGGAAACATATGTTACGAATCAAAATGGGGACCTTCATTGGACCTCATTTGTTTTTCTTTGAAATCTTGTAGAAAGATCACGCTCGATTATACGTTCAAAAAGTTGTGACCCAAGGACTGGAGCTGGTAACATGTTGCTCACATTGTCACTCTGAATCTATGCAACAGAGGAGCAGGTCTCGCTGACCATTATTACCATGCCGTGTTCAGGTGAAGACATCACTGGGTTACTGGTGACTGAACAGTATCAGACGAACAGTATGTTTATTGTAAAAAGACATTGCTGTTCATTACACATCGTGATAAATCTAAAGTGAGATGTGAATTAATTATATCCATGCATTTTCTCAAATCAAATATCCAAATATCACTGTTCTGTATTTTCAGTTTTCAAGCACTTGAACATGTATAATTGAAATGCCCATTTGCAAATCCATGATAGGGTACAGAGTATCTCATTCTTAAACGCAAAACATTTAATTTCATTTACATTAGACTGAACGTACTGTAATGGGTTCACGAACCATGACTGAAGTATATATGTATATATCTATATGACCAACAATCATGACAGCATGCTCTCGGCAACAATCACGGCGTTACATGTCACCTACCTCACGTGCAACCCGTGCAGTCCAAGTGTCCAGCTGACTGTTGATGCTGGCACCAGATTTTATACCCCGCCAAGTTCTCCACGCTTTCAGTGCGTGCTTATCCCGTGTCTAATCAACTCCCAAATATATTCATATTGATTCATCAATTCAGTAGTGGAGATGCTCCCATTCAGTTGTCAGGGGAATAGGGTGCGAGTTGCGCTCATCAAGGTGTGACATAACTCCGAGCAACCGGTTCCATATGGTTGGCCATGATGATCAGTAATCAGAGTAATCACTGGTCACTTGCACCTTGATTTTTACAAAGTCGTGGGTGAAATTCCTTGGCATACATACCCTATTCCCCCTCTGGTGAAATATGAACCCACTCCGTTAAATTATATATAGATATACATTATATATGATGTATCTCAGAGGAAATTTCCTAATTTTCTTCACTAGTGGTATAAACACGCCCTCGTGTTTGTGTGATGGGACTTACTGACCAATGATGAGGTTGAATCCGTGGGCGGCCGCATCACAACACTCGTGGTGCAGAAGGGCGGGCGGTAAAAACAACATCCGCCATATTTCTTCAGCAAGCGAAGCAGGTTGTAATTGGTCTTTTGACACTTTTAAGAGTCTTAGACTGTCTTGTAGTTAGAATGTGATCAAACAAACAACTTTCCTTCGTTGATCGATACCAAGCGTTACGTAGACCTGGAGGAAGTTTGTGAGTCGCCCACGCCGGGCCACTCCTCGACACACACACACACACACGTCATTGTTGTTAATTGTGGCCATTTGCTGTCTGTCGATGGCACATTACAACATCTGGGTAAATAGATGAACCTTTGTAATATGCCTTGGAAAAAAACAGACATATTTTTGTCAAATATCCCTAAAGATCCCCATAGGGCCACACAGTAATAGAAACAGTCTGTACACTTAAATAGAAGTATTCAAAAGTAGTGTTTGGAAAACGTCTTTGGGACCATTCAGAGACTTGAGAAAGTGTTCTTCGAATTATCGGACCGTAAAACATGCCGATTACGTTGTGACCAGAATTGATCGATGCAGTTGTTTCCAAGCGGCGGTAGATGCCCAATGAAGATCATGGAGGGCCTACAAATGTCAGTCCCATAGCTGTCTCTCTGAGGTTTAAGACGTTGAGAAATCTCTATGTCATTGTACTATTGAGCATTTTTTTCAATACACGTAAACTATTACCAAAAAGGAGAAAATTTAACTTGAAAAGATTTGTCATCCCGAAAACGTTGTCCAAGTACACTTTGTCTGTAAACTGAGTGCACAGCAGCAGTTTATGTTTGATTGTGTAGTTGGTTGGTCGCTTTGTTGGTTAATTCCGCACTCAGCAATATTCCAGCTATAGTGCAGCGGTCTGTAAATAATCGAGTCTGGACCAGACAGTCCAGTGAATAACACCATGAACATCGATCTACGCAATTGCGAACCAATGACATGTGTCAACCAAGTCAGCGAGCCTGACCACCCGATCCCGGTAGTCGCCTACGACCAGCATGGGTTACTAAAGATAATTCTAACCCGGACCTTCACGGGTTTTGATTGTGTAGTCACGCCGAAGTGGCAGCATCCCAGCGATATGACGTCGGCCGGTACATACATACGGAAATAAACAAACAATACACCAGTTAGTATCAACTGAGGTGACAGTTTTGCCTGCAGCGATTTTTTTAAGTGACCTCCCCACCTTGGCAATGTTTGTATGTCCAGCGCTGCATGGCAGCCCTTCGCAGGGGGTAGTACGTCTCTGCCTGTGTGTGTGTGTGCGTTTCTGTCTCTTTGTATGTATGTATGTACGTATGTATGTATGTACGTACGTGTGTGTGTGTGTGTTGGATGGGTGTATGTATTGAGGTATGTATGTATGATGCATGGGTGGATGTATTGATGTATGGATGGAAGGGTGGATGTATTGAAATATCTATGTATGATGGATGGATGGGTGTATATATTGACGTATTTTGTATGATGGGTGGATGTATGGTGTATGGATGTATGGTGTATGATGGGTGGATGTATTGATGTATGAAGGGTGGATGTATTGAAATATCTATGTATGATGGATGGATGGGTGTATATATTGACGTATTTTGTATGATGGGTGGATGTATGGTGTATGATGGGTGGATGTATTGATGTATTTATGTATGATGGATGGGTGGATGTATGATATGTCGATGGATGGGTGGGTGTATATACTGATGTATTTTTGTATGATGGATGGATGGGTGGGTGTATTTATGTTTGATGGCTGGATGTATGGTGTATTTATGTATGATGGATGGATGGGTGTATGTATTTATGTATGATGGATCGATTGATGGGTGGATGTATGATGGATGTATTGATGTATTTATATATGATGGATAGGTGTATGGATGAATGTATGATGGATGGCTGGGTGGATGTAATTATGTATGTTTGTGCATGTCACTGTATGCGCGGGTATGTGTGTGTGTATTTGTTGTTATGTTGTTTTATGGCAGAAATGTTGACATTTCCAAAATTGCAGCATCAGTGACAAACATTAACCCATTACTTCCAGTGTCTGTTTAAGTGAGCATTTACCTTTGCAGATGTTCGTGACATTGAGGGCAACAATGCTACATAGCATTATTCATAACAACAACATGCTCCTGATAGTGTAGGAATCGTCCAGTAGACACAGTTTTCCTTGACAATGGAGCAATATATGTCTTACCTATTAACAAGATATGAGATAAAGGCACTGTAACCAGGTGTTCTTCTTAATTCGCGACTGTAGAACGGGAATGAAGAATGGTTCAGATGTGATCGAAGAATCACAATTCGCATTCATACTTAAACCAGGCTGGTACCCTCAATGTATAATTCGACGACGAAAGTGTTAAGTGCCGTTGTCTACTGTTGCTGATTAATATTGATTGGTATCCTCCCGACGAAATATCGTCCGATATAGTGCAACCCGAATGATCGAACCTTAAGTACTGGTAGATATTAAACACAACTAGATTTCAAGGAAAGTTGCGTCTATACACAAATAAAAAAGTAACGCAACACCCAATATTTTCCTTAGAATCAATATGTTACTATTACTCAGCAGCTAAAAAACAACGTCAGTACGAATTCAAAATTAGATAGGGCACTGTAATCAAATCATTACAGAAATGGACATAATAAGCGGATCGAAAACATTTTTGGGTACAATATCTTGACACATCAATGAATATCTCAGCACAACTCAAAGACATTATGAGAACGTTTGCAGTCCATCCAGACTCTTGACTTCAGTATCTAGTGTGACCACCACAAGCGGCAATAACTGCAGCACAGTGTCTATGCATGGAGTGCACCAATCGATTGATGAAGGCCACTGGCACCTGGAACCACACTCTGAGAAAGGCTTGACGCAATAAAATCGGCTGTGTTCGGCCTTGGTATGACATTATTCAGTCTCCTCTGAATTACATCCCAAAGATGTTCAATTGGGTTTAAATCAGGACTAAGGGCTGGCCACTGCATAATGTTGACACCATTCTGCTGTAGGAAGTCTCGTGTAGCTCTGGCAGTATGGACCCGGGCGTTATCATGCTGGAAAACGTTGTTCCGGTGACTTGCTAAATGTGGTATGACGTGGGATCGGAGAGCTTGGTCGATGTAGCGCACCACTGTGATGCCTCCTCCTCTCCCTGGACGAAGGTTCTGGAACACCACAGGACCCACTCTCTGGTTCAGGCCTATTCCACCCCATACCATGATGCTAGCACCTCTCCATGAGTCTCTTTCCATAACACATTGGTCTGAGTAACGCCACGTCGTCGCCATATTCTTGTTTTGCCATCTGCAGTTGATACGCAGTACCGACTCTCATCTGTGAACAGAACAGTTCTCTATTGCCTGTATTGTTTTGGTGTTGTAGGGCAAACTGTAGACGTTCACGCCGATGACGAGGGGTGAGGATAGGTCCACGGTAAGGTCTACGGCAATGGAGGTTCCCGCTGTCAAGACGTCGGCATACTGTATCAGTAATGATTGGTCTTCCGTGTGTTCCCATTGTCTGGCGTGCTGTTTCGGATGCCTGCATGAAGAGATTCTGTACATGCTATCGCACAACATGGCAGTCTTGTCGTCACCCTTGGTCTGCCAGTACGGGGGCGATCATTTGTGGTGTTGGTGGATCGGAAACGTTGCTGCAGCCTGTAGATGGTACAAACGTTGACCAGGAAGTGATTGGCAACGTCTTGTGCAGTGTGGCCATCTTCAAGTCTTCCTAGCTCCTGGTTCCTGCTGACGTTGTAATGTGAATGTTTCAACCAGGTTTGGGGATGCATTTTATAGGGCTGAACCTTGTGAACAGCACATGCAGCATGAGTTGCATGAAAAACATGGAGAACACCGTACGATCTCCGAGATCAGGTTGCGTTTTTGAGACCATTTCCTGGGTTCCATTCTGAGTTTGGGAAGGAATGTCTTTGCTCAGGTAAAGTTGGAAATGTTGTCAAAAATATACCATCAAAACATTAAATGAGTTTACAAATTCCAAACTGACATTTCTTTTGCTGCTTAGTATATTATAACCATCGAAAAAAGAACTTATCCAAACCTCAGTTTAATTAACTATTTTCAAGAATTTGGTATACAGTCCTGAAGAAATCACATAGATATCAATAACCAAGTATAATATCTATACACAAAGAACTTAGTTAAGCACCCCCTTAAATATCTCACGGTTGAATGAGCCCCGATTTAAACCTATGGAGCATATCTGGGACATGACTGGTCGCCGTGTGCATCAAAGGGATAGTCCTGTAAAGAACCTGGCCCAATTGCTTTACACGAGGAATGGTGTAGACTGCCTCTTCAGAGGATCAGAAAGCTGACAGGAAGTATGGGGAGGGGAGTGCTGGCTGCCATACAGCCACATGGAGGTTACACTCGGTATTGACCTTGAATCGTGTAAGACACGCAAAATGACATTTTGAATGTTCACATTCCCCAAAAAATTCAACAGTAAACATTCCAGGGTCATATTTGTACAAACATGGTTTTATATGAAAATCAGTGTTTGCTTTTTTTAAATTAGCAATTATCAACATAAAATAAACATGGATTCCAATCATTTTGTCGTTTTTTTTATGAGTCAAAGGATCATACTGGTCACCACGACAAGTTTTATGCACGTGTTGAAAACCTATCATTGCCAAAATACTGGGGTTGCGTAATTAAGTCCTTTGTGTGTATATCTGGCGTAACCACCTCCAAATGCAGCAACATC